CTGGACTTTGACAGACTCGACGAGACCATCATCTATGAGACGACTAAGCTCCGTGTCCGCTCGATATACAAATCGCTGGTGGTGTGAGAATACGCGCCGCACCTCGGCCATTATCTGGTCTCCGTCGTTGTTTCTAATGGATCGAGACAGTTCGAGCTGAAGCTCGATGTACTCGAGTGGGGGGACACTGTCGGGACGCTTGCGCAGCGCCACGAAGAAGGTAGCAAGGGTACTCCAGGGCTCGTCTTTCAAGAAACTTAGCTCTTCGGTATCGTCTTGGTGATCAGCAAGCTCAACGACAACCGTGAGCCGACACAGGACAGACAAGTTCGCCAGCTTGACATTTGGGAGCATGTACTGTTTGTCCTCTGCATAGCGAGTTGTTGTTAGTATGACAACAATATGGCAATAATACGAGGATACATACTTACGTAGTCCACGAACTTCAGGGTACACTTGAGGTGCTCCAATGTCGCCGCACAGGCGTTCACCACACGGGGCTAATTAGTTGATATTTTCAGCTGAAAGAGGCACGAAAATCGTTATGAGAATAGAAGCTAAAAAGACCGAACACTTTCTGATAAAAACATACGATAGGTAAAACCTGGAAATAGGAGCCAAACAATAAAACCTTTTTTTGGTGAATCTTGTTGTAAAAAGCTGTTCCGCTTGCAGCAAAAAGGGGTACAAATACCACTGAGCTATCCATATATAGAATAATAAATATATTTTCTATTGAGATAGGTACAAAAAAAAGTATACATCTACTATCTATTTGCTTAAATAGGAGAGCTTACTTTTGTCACAAAAAGACTATAATACAAATACATTAACTATTTTTTTGGCATCGCCGTGTGTGCCCTCTGACACATTCACTGGTCGCCCATTGGTCGCCCACTAGTCGCCCACTGATCTACCCGCCGGTTGCCTGAACAGCGCCCGCAAACGGGAGCGGGTCGGGCGATGCGAGCAGACACACGACGAGCGGTGGAAGGGCGAGAACTCGGAATTAAAAATGGTGAGAAGAGAACCGAAGAGAAGTGCAGCAGGGACAAGCGAAGACGGAAGTGACCACCCGTCAGACGTCCGCGAGGATGTCGACGTCGATCTGCTTCACCGTCCTCCTCTCCAGCGCGGCAAGCTCGGGCGCCAGCTGCCAGTCACGCATGGCGGGGTGCATGATGCTCCCGAGGATCTCGTCGTTGGGGCCCACGCGCATGGGCAGCCGGTACGAGACCGCGCGGAGGAAAACCTGCCTGACGTCGATCTCGCTCACGTCCCACACCTCGGGTGTCGCCATGAGGCTGCTCGGCGCGAAGCTGTCGCTGCTCGCGAACGCCGCCGTGCGCGGCGCGTGCGGCGGCTTGTCGTGTGCGCGACCAAGGGAGGCATGATCGGCCCCGGCGTCGACGTCGGGTTCCTCGACGCGCACCTCGACGCTGCGCACGCTCCCTGCCTTGCAGCAGCCCGCACGGATCTCGGTGCTGAGCCATGCGTCCTCGACGTCGCTGCCATTGTCGTCCCACGAATGCACGTTTGCGTCGGCGGTGGGAAGCTCATTGTCGCTGTCGCTCGCGTCCTCGCTGGATGCGGCATCGCGCGGCGCGGCGGTGGCGACACTCGCAACGAGCTCCGCGCCGAGGCTGCACCCGCAGAGCACGCGGTACGCACGCACGAGCGCCGTGGCGTTGCGGTGCGCGCGCAGCGTGAGCAGCCCGCCGTCGAGCAGCGGGTGGTGCCGCGCGGCGGAGAAAAGGTTTTGCTTAAGTGGTCATGCATTGTTAGTAAGCGGCGATTTACTAGTAAGTGACCACCGCTGTTTCGGCGACGAGTGGGCAATGTGTGGGCAATGTGTGGGCAATTTCCTAGCAAGTAGCCATCAGTGCGCAGGGCGATGAGTGGGCGCACAGCGGACGACGAGAGGGGGGTAATAGGCCATGAGTGGGCGATCAATCTTATGTCTGAAAAGAAATATCAGTTTTTTCCATACCAGTTTCCCTGATAAAAGTCCGGCTTTTCTACCTCATATTTTGCAAAGACAGGAACCACAAAATAAGTCTGTTCTTTTTGTCTCACCTGGAGGGAACTTTTTTGGGATAAATATGGAGAAAGAAATCATGATGATTTCACCCCGAGGATATTTCGACTCTTCTAATCCCTCAAAAGGTGTAAAAGCAGTGTATCTTTTTGTACCATTAAAACAATAACACTCTCATGGGGAAGTAGCTTAAGTGTATTTATGAAACAAACTGAATGCGTTTTTGTACCTCTATCCGTGCAAAATAGTATAAAATTAGCCCCGTGCCACAGATTGGGTGTGGTAGCTGTAAAGTTTTGTGATGTCTATATACCTGACCTCCGCCGTGCGCAGTACCCGCAGGAGAACGAGCGGGGCACCGGAATCGTCGAACACGACAGAGTTGATGCGGGGGAGATGCTCGATTTCGACGTCGTAGCTATCGTCAACATCATTGTCCCCTTCGCCGTGCGGGTCGCATACCTGCTGAAGCTTGAGCTCCTTGAGCGTCAGGAAGAGGCAGATCAGATCACAGAGTGCGCGCTGGTCATGCTGTCCGTGAAACCGATGGTTATACAGGTACCCATTGATCATAAGCGACTGGAGGCATCAGGGAAAAACGCCAGCGCCACACAGCGCTTCGGGTGCTGCGGGGTTCTGGTAGACTGGTAGAATGGTACCCGATTCGGCAGCCCTCTGTGGCTCTCGCTGCGCCTCCATGGCACCAGTAGCTACCCGCCTTTGCTCAGTAGTTCACCGCAGTATGGCAGTAGCTTGTTTGTAGGTGCGAGTAGATTGTTACCACTTTCGGGGGCGCGGTGCACACAATCGCACCATAGATGTTAATGAGGGAAAACATATATTTAAACATATATTATGTTAGGTACATGTTGGTATGCTACACCTCCCTCTCATAGTCATATACTCATCACAACTTCGGCAGCATAAACAGTAAGCATAAGAGTACATCTGCAGCATGAGTTAGAGCTATTCATGGTAACAACAGAGAAGGCAGTACTCACACCTAAGTACCAGGCTCTTCAGCGGTGGTCACCCTACTCAGCCTGGGAAGCGGCATTGGACTTGATAGTTATGAGGGACATGGTGGAGAGATCAGCATAGCCGGATTTCTATGAGCTAGTGCAAAATTAGCTCAGTAATAGC